ACCCACAGATCCAAGGTTTTTCTCAGTCTGGAGGTTGTATATGAAATACAAAGTCTGTAACTTTTCCATACAGTTGTAGTGCCTCATCACTACATTGTTCAGAATGGAGTAAACACTGCTCACTGGGAGGGAAAACTACTGAACAAGAACCAGCCTACCACACTTAATTACTGTTTTACAAGAGAACTTAGGTTTTGCTTATACAACTTTATCTTTTACTCCCCAGTGCTTTCATCCACTCTGAAAACAAATTCCCAAACCTACTGGAATGTGGTCCTCTCTGTCCAGGATCACGGCTTTCCATGAGAGTTACATGCTACAGAATAATTAAACCACTGACCAACTGCTGTTACTATGAGGCAAAAGAACTTTTATAGGAACCAGACCTGGGCTCTGCAATGTATACTGTCAGATATAACTGGCTCCACAACCAAATTCAGGCTTTTCTTTCACTGCATTACATCTTCTCCCATAAACTGCATTAACCTTCCCATCATACCTATGAATGAAAATGTTCACAGATTATCAAGTGGTCTCAACAAGATGCCAGTGAAGAGAGAGATGATTCTGCTTTCCCACCATTTACATTTTGGGGATGATCACATAATACAGACAGAGAGGCTGGGTATATCCAAACACTTGATAAAAGAGCTCTAGTCCATGGAAAGGTGTAGGTATATGACATACTTTGAACTTCTACTTTAATCTTTACGGGAAGAGCATGTCAGAAGCTGAAAGTTAACCAAGAGAAATTTTAGGACAGACTTTCATACAACTCTATTGTTTTAAACACATCAGAGGCTTCTTTCCCCTAGTTCCACTGTCTTTTGTTGTTGCTTTTTAAAAGAAGCTGTTTATTGAACCTTGGCATCTGTGACCTTTCTAAGCTTCTGCCCTGGCAGATGGCACAAGCCATGTTTTCTGGAGGGCTTAGAGGGCCATTTCACAGTTTCTGAAGTAGCTGATATGCTTTATTGAATACAAGCCAAAATATGATTTGTACTCCTGCTTTGTGGGTAAAAACGTCTCTACAGATATTATACACTATTAGGTTAATCACCTATATGGATATAAATCTCCATGTGGAGAAATGCACTAAGGTGAAGAGGGATGCTGTTTTAAAAGCACAGTCTTGACATCCAGACAAAACAATGAGATTTGGCGACTGAGGTTATGCTCTCAGCATTGCTGCAGTATTAGGGACACTGAGGGATCCTCAGAAATGAACACTGTGCAAGTGAACAGCTGAGTCATACTAAAACTATAATTAACAGGGATAGCTGTGATGATGAGCACAATTATAACTGGTTTTGTTAGCTGCTATTTGACACTCTTAACATCTCTATGCCTTCTATAACACTGTCATAACCAGATTTCCCTTTCCTTATAATTTCATTTGTCTAGAGATCTTGCAAGCAGTTTTGAGCAAGCAGTTTTGAGCAAGCAGCTCAAACATCATAAAATAACAGAAGTGTTTATTATGATGAAACAAAAGAAAAAACAATTTTCAGCAGTGTTCTTAGAAAAAGTCACAGCTAACTGTCCAACATGTTTAACAGAAACAGGTAGCATAAGGAATCATGAAGAGCAAAGGTAATACTGGTATGGGTAGTCTGAGAGCAAGGAAGAGATCAAGTGACTAAATCCATCTGCTGCTGTACCAAAATCATCTGTATTCAGTATAGAGAATTTTGAAATGAAGATTTGTAAACAGAAGAACATAATAAAATTTTTTTTTCTTGAAGAGGTGGACCTGATTGGTTTTTTTAAAAAAAGATTTTCCATGGAAACAAAAGGCAAAATTTTTGCTACATTAAAGCTTTATATTTTATTGCATTATGCATCTGTGGAAGCCAGTTTCCCAGATTTATGCTGCAAAACTCTATTACAGCATTTTAGGCCTAATATGTCAATTTCTTTGTTAATCAACAAAGATTCAGGAATCAGACACAAGTATAATTACTCCATGTTTCACTTGGAAAGCCTGAGGTAAGAGGGAAAATGATCTAAATGCAAGATGTGAAATCTTACATCTGTTCTAAGCAAGCATTAAATCAAAGCAAGAACCAAGTGATTAAGCATCAGCTACAAGAAACCCTTCAATGAAAGAGCTGGGAAAAACAGTTTCAGCAGCAAATGAAAATAAACTAGCAAATCAAGTCCCTAACACACAGTGCACTGAGAAGTACAGCATCATGAATTATCACAAGGAAGAGGTTTTGGTCTAAGATACAAATGAGAATTTTCCTAATTGCAGGAAGCAAATATCTGTTTATGAGACAATAATGAACTTTTTATGGGGTTTCTAATCAGCCTGTTTTCAGCTTACCCTAATGGCAGCTGATTTCATGCCAGAGGGGCACATTCGGTGAAAGGCTTGTATTCTGGAGAGCCATAAAAGGAAAAGTTCAAGTACGCTTAGTTTTCATACAAACAAACTCAGGCTAAAGTCCCAAACCAGTCTTATAACCATCCATTTCTTAGCATTCAACATAAGGAACTTGGGCAGTAACATCATATTCAGTATAAATCTTTCCTGAAAAGTTATTTGCACAGATCCGAATTTCATTATAAATTTTGTAAAAGAAAACTGTTCCTTACATAATTACTAGAGCCTTTTTTTTTTCCTCTTGAAGAGGCAAAATTTAGCATTTCACATGTTGTAAGGAAACAAAAGGTAATAATTTGTTACAATTAAGCTTTAAATTTTATTGCACCAGTAACAATGCAAATTAAAGGAGATTAAGACTTTAACTTATAAATGTATGTATTCGTTAGGAATTTGCACTGATCAATTTTACAAATCATACAAAAATCGCATTTGTTTTCTTTTAAAAAGATACAATGCATTCTTCTAAAATATTCTTTTATGCTTTACTGGGAAATTTTTCATTCAGACACTTCCTTGGGGATTATTTTTAGTAAATCCTTATAGTATCACTTAATTCCCAGTCCACAGAATTGTGTTCTGGTTTGTTTCCGAGGAAAGATTCTTTACTTTTTTCACACAGGAAAAAATTATTAAGAGTAGGCAGCCTTTTTTACAACAGAGTGTCAACAAGTCAAGAAGTTTCGTGAGAGATCATTTTAAAAATGCTGACGATTCAAAGTTTGCCAACAGCAGCCTGAGCTAAGAGAGCATTAGATAATTTCTCTGCAAGACAGAACTGACTTTCATTGCTTATTCACATGAGAGGTCTTCTAGATGCCAACCACAAAATCAGCACTCCTGCAACCCTGCTATTACAAGTGGTTGTCTCTCAAGCTGTGAACTTCAGCCAAGTAAGGTATAGATTTGTTCATTATTCAGAAAATGACCAGGGCTTATTGCCATGGCAAGTATTTCTAGCCAGCAACACTGCAGACGTGATACATCAGACAAATACTGGATTCCACCAGTATTTTCACAGAAAGCTTCAACTGGGTGGAAATTTTCACTTTGAAAATTATAGCATTTATTCCACGTTTTTGAAGTATATTGGTGACACCCTATTTAACGGGCACCAAGAAATACTGGGTTTAAGAGAAAAACAAACAACAAAAAATTCACTCACTTATTAAGAAAAAATGACATCAGTGTTCTAAATTCTACTAAGATCAAGTCAAGAACAGGGGGAAATCCTGGCTGCTTCAGTAAGACCAGGGAAGATCTGGATTCAGTTCCCAGCAATGTAACTCACTTTCCACGGGATTCCATGCTGATGCCTGTCCTAGGAACTATGACATTTCTCACCTTGCTATAAACCTCAGACTAAAAGCTTCATGCAGAACTCATATTAACTATTCAAAGGGGAAAGAACAGGCAGGAGTCATTTCCAATGAGTCAAGACATTTGAGGCTTGTATCTTACATGTATTCAAATCCAAGGACAAATCTCATTTTTAAGGTTTGATATATTAAAAAAAAAAAAAGAAGGAAAACATGCACCATGTGTAGAAATTTCCTAAAAAGTTCAGGTTACAAATAAACACCACTGTCAATATTTAAAAATAGTGTGAACTTTTAAAAGTATTAACAATGCTTCTGTCTGGTTATTCTACTTTTTGTTTTGCTTTGTTTTTTCTTTGGAAAAAGTCTATTAATGTTAAATAGCTGGTCTAATATTTCACACTTCTTCTACGCTCAAAAAAGAAATATGTATTAAATTTGTCTAAACAATTTTATCATTTCAGGCATAGTATTTTTCTACACTTACTGGCAACTTATCATATTCCATCAGTCTTTTCCTAAGATATTTACAACATAATACTAAAAAATGTGCAACAGTGCCCAAGAAAAGGACAGGAACAGCATTCACAAATAAAACTTTCGCACTGTCCTATGGATCACAACATAAAACAAGGTAGACATTAGAAAGTATTTTTAACATCAAGTAATCATAGGTGTCTAGAGCACATTCTCTATTCAGCTGGGCAATCATATTTTAATTTCTGTATTTTTACAGTGAGATTATTCCATAAGGACAAGCTGTATAAGCAACAGTCAATTCAACTCCATAGAAGTTATAAAACCGTAAATCATTGATGGAAGATGTTGAAGACCTTAGTTCTACTCAACATGCAATAAGAACATGCATAGGACAAGCCTTCTCTTACAACACTAGCTGACCAAAATCTGAATTTCAGTCTGACAGTTTTGATCCTACTTGCTTTCATCAGCACACCTGCAACATGATGCTCGACAGCACAGCACTACGGGACTGTGTTACTGTGTCCCCATAAACAGCAAGACACCGGCTTAGAATCCCTCATCAGGAAAGAAATTACTTACTAGGGCTTAGATTTTTCCTTTCATTAAAACAGAGGGCCTGCTGCAGAAGAGACACTTTGATAGAACTTAACTATGAAGCTGGTCAAAGCCTCTTCCTCCCATCCCCACCACAGACCCCGTTCTTTCAGCAGAAAGCATTGCCTTCTACTTCAATTGACACATAATTTCCACTGTTAAAAATATGGCAGGATCACCATCATACAAAAGCATAAAAGAAACCAGAAACATACGATGGACACAGATATTGCTTCTTTTTCCCCTTTCCTTTCTTTGAAGACTTCTCTTTGGAACAGACTTCTTCAACCCATACGGAGAATGAGATGAAAAATAAAACCGCTAGTAAGAACTTCATCTTGAAGATTAAGCTTCAGAGAAACCTTCAGTCTGCGGCAAAAGAGAGAGGTTTATGTTAGGTTAGATACAGCAAAAAGGAAACATATACCTAAAAAAAAGTAAACAAAAGTTTGGTTGGTTTTGGTTTTGCTGTTGCTGTTGTTCTTAGTTGCCTTGGGACAAAGAGTCTGTTGAGATGGTATCTGTGATGTGGAGCTGATAAAGGCAATTTTCTGAAAGTCAAATAGCTTCTCAAAATTGAGCCTGACAGTGAGGAACAGATTTAAATGCAAGTTTGCTCCAGTGTGTTTAAGAAAAGAAACGGGATGTTCTTCGAAGGCTGCCTAACCCAAAATACTCAGAAACTTGGACACAGGATTTCTCACCAGAAATGTCACAGATCAACTGCATCAAATATGATGCCAACCAGTCATCTAGCAAGGCAAAGAACTGCAATCCCTCTACGACCTTGCATAGATAAAACAGCAATCGTGTATATGGTAGTTACGAGAAAGGGTTGCAAATATAATTTTATGTACAGAATTTAAGCACAACTATTTTTCATGAAGCATTCTCACTGCGGAGCCAGCACTGACAGGGCCTTGCGAAGATGATTAAACACAACCCGCGATGCTGTGCTTTACTGCATCGTGCTCAGTTTAGCATTTTAACTTCTTGGGGGCAAAAGCACATAGCCAGTCCCTGGCCCTTGGGGTTTGTGTTTTGCCCAGAGATCCCTACCTGCCCCTGGTCACAGCCCCGCAGCACCGCGGGCATTTTCCATTTGTTTCCCATCCCACAGATAATTCCCAGGCATTTCCTTGGGCCAACGGAAATCTCGCAGACGCCTCAGAACCTGCTGCATTTTCCACTTTTATTGATTCAGCCTTCTTTCCCCGTGCTTTTTCAGAAGCAGTGCCTCTCCCTCCTCCCCCTGCCTCCGGGAGGCACCGGGATGCTCCAACTCTCCCTTCCCCGGGAGCCGCAGCGTCCCAATCCGTCCAGGACGGTGAGGGCGGCGGAGCTGCCCCTGCTG